TTTTTGGGTAATTTACAATCTTCAATTAGTTATCAAAACTTGACCCCAAAATCCTACAAGTGACTATGTGATCGAAGGTTTGTTTCAGTAAGATCATGAGTTTGTATGAGATAAAAACCTTAGGATTACATTTGGATGAAGATGGATACCATGAATTTCTTTGCTTGAGCGATGTGTTGAGGGCCTGAGGCGATATACAAATAACTCTAGACTTAAGCAGGAGTAGGGGATTTTTTAGAGGGAAAAGTTAATCGCATGAAAAATTAGAGGGAAAAGTTAATAAATTTTCTTTTACTTTAATAAACTTATAATGAAAGTTTTATTTTTAAGCTAAATAAGATGAAAGTTTTATTTTTAAACTAAATAAGATGAAAGTTTTATTTTTAAACTAAATAAGATGAAAGTTTTATTTTAAAGCATAAATAAGATGAAAATCTTATTTTTAAGCTAAATAAGATGAACATTTTGTTTTTAAGCTAAATAGTATGAAAGTTTAATTTTTAAGTTAAATAAGATGAAAGTTTAATTTTTAAAACATATGGCACGATCATGAAAATGCACACACAAAAATATTTAAGCTAAACAAACAACTTATCCTAAAAAATTATACAATGAATATTAGTTTGAATATGACAAACCAAACAAGCAATAAAAACTAATCCCAGCATAACTTATCCTAGTATAACTTATCCAAGCATAACTAGTATTCAAACAAAATTGCTATAGTACATTTGCCGCTAATATTCGTCCAATAAAATGATTTTCATGCAGATGGAGATAATGAAGTTCAGGAAGATTAGCAAGCTCCTTAGGTATTTCGCCTTTCAAATTATTAAAACTTAGGTAGCTGAACAATATACCTATCAGTTATTAGTTGATCACCCTTATTGGTCTATATAACAACAAAATAGATCTATGGATAAAGAGTACAACTAGAGAAGCTGAAAAAGCACTCACAGATGTTAACTGCTTTAGTTCACCTATTTCAGGTGGAATGACATCTTGCAGCTTATTCCAACTTACGTTTCTGGTAAAAAGAATCAGGAGAAGGAACTAATCAATAGTGCAACATTACAACACACTAGGAAACTAGAGGATATAATTTCATATTAGTATGTTGGGTAAAATAGCAATAAAAGTAATTTTTAAAGTTAACATTCTGGACAAAGTGGAGGTTCCTATGGACAAAGGAAAACTTAAAGGTGTGATAAGGGCAACAGAAAGTAGATATTGAGATATGCATCTAATACAATCCTAAAAGAAATATAAAAGGCCTTCTTAGTTAAGGGACATTTCCTGTAAACAAGGTGTGGCAGGTTTGATTTTTTGGAATATAATACAAGACTGTTACCTTCTCCAAAAAAAAAAGTTAAAGGACATTTCCTTGACAATATAAACCTACTCTCTTTTTATTTTCTAGAATATAAGCCTACGAGTATATATTCTCTCAGTTGAAAATTTATCTTTCTTCTTCGGTGCACATTATATCAGGTAGACTCCCTCTCACTCCCTTCTTTGGGATTAATCATTAATCAGGTAGATTTTCCCTTGTTATTAATTCATTTCATCTCGATGAAAAGCCATGTACTTAATCACTTTGTACAACACAGTTGAAGCATATTAACACCCATCTAGCTAAGTTTTAATAGATAAGCATATGTTAATCCTGAAACTGGAGAAACAGGCTATTCGGAGACGGATCATAAGCCTTAAACATAAATATCACTTCATAATAGCTACTGGGTATAGATACTTCAATAGGAGTATACAAGTAAAGAATTATACAATATTTTAAAACGCTTCAAACGCCCAATTTGAGAAGGAAGAGGGCCTGTCAGCTTGTTATTATGCAGATCCCTGTCATATGAAAGAATATTATGGATTAGGAAGTTCATAATGAAAATCAAAAGATCCAACAGTACATGCACAATTGTCCACTAACTATTGCCTTAAATAATAGTATCAAATTTGAAGATAATGACTACGCACATTATAGGTAACTCCCACGTTTTTGGGGATAACAGTCAACACCCAAGCAGAACAATTCTTTAAGTTAGTTAATGAACAATTAAGACTAGAGGGTGTAAAAATATCCATAATGGAGCTTAGGGAAACTTCTCAATTTGTATGAGGTTAAAAAATCTATTTAGATTCAAGTACAAAGACAGAGAAGAAGAATCTTACAGTCTAGTAAACTCTAATAAATTAGTGACAGCAGTAGGAAATGGGCCAATAATTGAAACAACATAAACTTTGGTAAAACAAAAAAGAACATTGTAAAAAAAGTGACAAGTAAAGATATTTCAATTCTGTGAGTAACTTCATATAGATTTGAACCTTAGTTAGAGAAAAGCTACTTAGAACTGGTGAAGCAAAACTTTCAATTCAATAACTACTCTATAATCACCCTGCGTTGAACATGTAACACCAGACCATGGAGGTAAATCACCATCTCCACAAGGATCATCTCCAACCCATGCATACACCACTCTCCATCCAAGAGATGCCTTAATTTCATTCAGAGCTTTCACTACAGTCATATTTCAGAAGTTCAAATTAGTCCATGTAAACATATACGTTCAGGTACTTAAACAACTCCTTGGTTTTCTCATGAATGCAATCAATGGCCTTAAACTGTTTAAATCATTTTAATGAAATATTAATAGAGAAAGAGTGGATATAATTGGAACTCCACAACACTAAGTGTAGAGAGTGAAGCTATTAAACTTATGATCATGGTCTCAAGCCTTACAGTGGACGTTCTTATTTCTGACAAGCATAAAAACTCGTGATCGATTATATACTTACTTATACTACAATTTAATTAACTACTACTATTTAATCATGGAGAGATATTAAATTGACATTTATTGAATGATAAATCGGTTTAACTTTCCAAGGATAGCTATACTTACCTGTAACAACTAGAAAATAGAATTCTACGAGCAAACAAAGGGGAAAACATTTATAGTTAATGACACTCCAAGGCACTGATTTTAGTTTATTGATTGTAGATAATAGATAATACATTGTATAGATCAAGACGATACATCAGGTGAATAGTTATTCCTCAACAAAATCAACAAACTGCAAAGCTTGAATTACTAAACCAAGAAAATAGACATTCAAAAAAAAGGAAATTACAGTTAGAAAAGATGAAAACACAAAACTTATGGATTCTTTCATTCCACTAGAGGGGTAAATTCCTTGGAGTATTTCTATAGATGTCCACGCACTTGAGTTGTTAAGACGAGATAAGGAAGTCCTATTCTGTCATGTTCTTGGGGAAGGAAACAGATTGGCTGATTATTTTACTAGCTTAGTGTTTGATTTTGCAGGAGACATCCAATTAAATTCTTTCCAGGAGGTCCCAATTTCAGGGAGGCACATCATTAGTTTAGATAAATCGCAGCTACCATACATCAGAACAAGGGTAAAGGACTCAAAGAAATGTTTGCAACGGATTTTCGACTTAAAGCATCTGCAACCACATTGGCTTTACCTAGATGATAATCAATCGTGCATTCGTAATCTTTGATGAGTTCAAGCCATCTACGTTGTTGAAGGTTTAGCCCCTTCTGAGTACCCAAGTACTTTAAGCTCTTGTGATTAGTGAATATATGACATTTCTCTCCATACAAATAATGCCGCCATATTTTCAAAGCAAGCACTATAGCAGCAAGTTCAAAATCGTGAGTAGGATAATTCAATTCATGCGGTTTTAATTTCCGAGAGGCATAAGAAATAACCTTCCCTTCTTGCATCAAAATGCATCCTAGACCATTGTGAGAAGCATCACTGTATACAACATACTCTGTCCCTTCAATTGGTAGAGCTAGTATAGGCGCTTGAGTCAACAAGGATTTGAGAGTTTCAAAGCACTTTTGGCATTTGTCATCCCAAATAAACTTTACTTCCTTTTGCAAGAGTTTAGTCAAAGGAGAGGCGATAATAGAAAAACCTTTCACAAATCTTATGTAGTATCCTGCTAAGCCTAAGAAACTTCTTACCTCGGTTGGACTTTTTGGAGGTCTCCATTCCACAACTGCTTGTATCTTACTAGGATCCACCTTCACGCCTTCGGCTGATACAACATGTCCAAGAAACGTCACTTCATCAAGCCAAAATTCACACTTGGAAAGTTTAGCATAAAGTTCCTTCTCCTTCAAAATTTGCAAAATAATCCGGAGGTGGTTCTCATGGTCTTCACTACTTCTGGAAAATATTAAAGTATCATCTATAAAAACAACCACAAAATGATCAAGATAAGGCTTGAATACTCGATTCATTAGATCCATGAATACCGCAGGAGCATTTGTCAATCCGAATGGCATCACCAAAAATTCATAATGACCATACCGAGTTCTAAAAGCAGTTTTAGGAATATCTTCTGCTCTAACACGTAGTTGGTGATATCCAGACCTTAAATCAATCTTTGAGAATACTTTAGCACTCTTCAGTTGGTCAAACAAATCATCTATCCTCGGTAGTGGATATTTATTCTTGATTGTTATTCTGTTCAATTGTCTATAGTTAATTCAAAGCCTAAGAGTGCCATCTTTCTTCTTGATGAACAAAACATGGGCTCCCCAAGGAGAAATACTAGGTCGAATAAAACATTTCTCAAGAAGTTCTTGCAATTGAGATTTCAATTCTCTTAATTCCGCCGGAGCAATTCTATAAGGAGTGATAGAAATAGGGGTAGATCCAGGAATAAGCTCGATTGGAAATTCAACCTCTCTTTCTGGGGGCAATCCAGGAAGGTTTTCTGGGAAGACTTCTGGAAAATCACATACAGCCAGTATGTCTTTGATACAAGGACTCTCCAACCGTGTATCAACTATGTGAGCAAGGTATGCCCCACATCCTTCACGCATCAATTTTCTTGCTAAGGCCGCAGAAATAATACTAGTTGTCTATGATCTTTCACCTTGTAGAATGATGTGTGACAATGAAGGATCTTTAAAGGTCACATGCTTTGACCTACAATCTACCACTGCCTAATATTTATGAAGCCAATCCATCCCAATAATAACATCAAAATCTTTGAAGGGCATTTCAATCAAATCAGCAGGGAAGACCAAGCTTTGAATCACGAAGGGACAATCACGATAAATTTGATTACACACAACCTGATAACCCAAAGGACTTTCAACCAGCACATCATAATTAAGTCTCACAGATTTCACATTTTCAGCAAGAACAAGTGATGGACAAATATAGGAATGTGTAGAACCAGGATCAAACAGTGTAAACACACATAAGCCAAATAAGTGAAATTTACCGACAACCACGTCTTGTCCATCTTGATCATCCCTCTGCCTCATAGAATAAGCACGTGAAGTAGCCCTTTGTCCACTAGCTTGATTAGCTCCACTTGTACCTGTTGCTTGGGTATTTTTAGGTCTTGCACCTCTATTAGTTTGAGAAGGATTAATAGAAGGCTTATGAACTGAGCCTTCAGCTCTCAAGGAAGGAGCATTATTAGGATTAGGACAATCCTTCACTTTATGATCAAAGCTCTCACAATTGAAACATACACCAGAAGCTCTCCTACAAGTACCATAATGATTCTTCCCACAATGTGGACAAGTGGGAACGCGAGCCTTGCCTTGGCCATAATTTAGAGTGCTAGTTGTAGAAAAATCTTATCTGTTTTGCTTTTGTTGCGGTAGCCTATTATCACTACCAGCCTTAGAGTTATCAAACCTTCCCCTTTTTGATGAACCCCCAAAATCTGGTCTAGGCTTCCGAAATTTGTTTTCATTTCGTCTAGCTTCTTCTTTATCAAGTCACTCCCAAGTAAAAGCAGCAGACACTAACTTACAAAAGTTCTCATGTTGCAGGATCGCCACATTCTTTCTAATGGAATCATTTAAACCATCTTCAAACTTCCTACACTTGTCTTTTTCCTCTTTAATAATACCTCCAGCATAACGAGAGAGCATTAGAAACTTCTGTTGGTACTCAACAATAGACATGCCTCGTTGCCTTAAATTCAAAAACTCCTTTCTCTTTGCATCACAATAAGCAGGTGTGGCATACTTCATACGAAATTCCCTAAGAAAATCATCCCAAGTAAGAACATGAGGTTTTACCTTGGCCTTTGGAACACTTACCCACCAATCGTAAGCATCCTTTTGTAATAATGAAATAGCATATTTAAATTTGGAAACATCTGAACACTCTAACTGCTCAAATACTCTCTCCATGCGCTCCAGCCATTGTTCAGCATCTGTGGGATCAACGGTGCCTTCAAACTCCACTCCACCCATTTTCCTCATTTTCTTAAAGTTAATCACATTGGGATCATGCATCACTTCAGCCATGTGGTGGAAGAATTCAGTCATTTGTTGAAAAGGAGGATTCAGGGCTTGAGTACCACGACTCATGTGAGGATGTGAACCAACTCTTACACCCTGATGGTTTCCAACTTCAGACCCACTAGTGTGGGGAACATATTGATTCGACAAAGGTTCTGCAACCTCTTCTAGTGCATGAGGTTGGGGAACAGAGGTACCCGAACCTTCACGAGCAGCTTCTATAGGTCGGCCAGAAGAAGTGGCCATAACTTAATTCCTTCAAAATGGAAGATCACATTGCATTAGGGACATGTACATGATGCATGTGCACTCTACATGCGATAGAAATACTGTAAACCATGTAAGTGAACAAATAATCCAAATAGAACCTTTTTCGAATACGAACAAGTATACAAGTAGTTCACATCAAAAGTCCTAGAACCACAAACCGAAGCTCTGATACCAACACTTGTAGCGACCCTTCCGAAATAATATAAGCCAATAACTCACAATATTTTTATGCATATATTATACTCACACTAGAAAAAAAAATGACACAAAAAAAATATTACCAACTTCCAAGTACCCAACTAGGTGGTTCATGCTTCACACAATCATTCAAAATTAGTGGTAAAATTAATATAATACAAGACTTGGGCTTACACACCCCAAAAGAACAAAACATAGAGCCATACTTATATTATAACCCATGGTGACATGATCAAATTAGTCCTCAAAATTTCATGTAAATATACAACACATAGATCATGTACAAATCCCAAGGTTAATACAAAATATAGATGCCTATATGCAAATGTGATCTTCCTTAAGGCTCTCAAAATTTCCCTCTCCAATGGACAACTTCATGCATCCACTCGCTCATTCCCTACGATAGAAACAACTATCGCTAAGCATATAGCTTAGTGGTGTAAAAACTATAGGTTCGGAGCCATCAAATTCACAAAACTACATTTCTCAATTCATGGGCAGCATAATCGAACATAATAAATAAATCAAGTAAACAATATATCAAAAGTATCAAGTTCGATATTCAGAGGTCCAATTGTCAAGAACGCTCATAACACCATTTTCCAAGAGATTCAATAACAAGGCTCACCCAATATGTACATCATGTCTTCACACCAAGCACAAACAATTATCAAGAAGGGCCGATGCCATGTATCAAGAAGGGTCAAAACCCAATAATCAAGAGAACCAAGAACCATATTAAAAATGACTTTCTAATTCGTACTTAAAATGGACAACTTCCATACTTAAGACGAACTAAAAATCCAGAGTCAAGATGGAAAATGATCCGAATCAAGAGGCATGCCAATAGTGACAAAGTCTTTAACTTCTCAAAGGATACCAATACAACAATGCAAAGCGACAAGAGTAACCAAGGTACCAGATCAAATTTCAGATATACTAGTAGTTAATAGAGTGCAAATACAAGTTTATACACAAACCTTAGTGCTTTAGCAAAGAAACAATCCAATACAACTTCAAGAGTTCAAACCGTAGATCACAACGTATCAAGGTCGTCAACTTGTTCACGAGTATATACAAACTTAAAAAATTCAATTATATAACTTCTTTAATTCCCAACAGCTAAATAATATTGGTGTAAAACAGAACTATCATCACAAGTAAGCTTAGTCTGTACAAACACGACTATGCTCCAAAAACAGTGATTCTGGCCAGCCTAGTACCTTATGTCGGAACTTAGATTTGAAAAGAAAAACGGCAAAACTAGACTTTATAACCTTCATGAAAGATGTAGCTACACCTCTTAAGGTTGCAAACAAACAAGAATCACCGCAAAATATATTTTGTACAACAAGAGATAGTCAAAATACTAACAGTTGTCCATACAGGATTTCAAATTTCAAAATCTGGACAGAACTTGTCCTATGTTGCGTCCCATATTTCGATTCCATAACGGCTACATCAGAGTTTTACATAAACATAGAAGTTGTAGTTCTACGAATTAGCTTTCTAAATCATATTTATTCACTGTAAACGGAGTTCTAGAGGACGAGATATGAATAAATTACAAAACACTACCCAGCTCATGAACAAATTTCGTCACTTACCAAAAAGAATTATGTGTCTCGAATTCCAGCCAAAAGAACTAAGTTTTCTTTTGTGATTTTGAAGAAGAATCTATTTAGATATGTTTCTAAGGTTCTAAGGCTAGAGGAAAATGAAATTACTAAAGGAGGGGTGAAAATATATAGTCAAACAAGTGATGTTTATCCCTTGGGCAGCTGTCCTTCAAAGGTGCTGCCCAAAAATTTGTGTGCTGCCCAATATGCATAAATATACACCTATATATATATATCCCTCATCTCCTTTTAAAGTTATACATAATTCTAATTAGAATATTACCTAAACACCTCATCACAATCCCTTAAATTACGATCACAATTTATGTTAAGCAAGTTAGCAATTATCACAGCATTTCAAGTTCCTAAATTGAGAGTAAAACATATTGTAGTAATTAAGCAATGGTAAATCGACATGCGACTCTTGGTTAAGATTTAGGGGTGTTACATGTGACATCTCTATGCTCCTTCATAATTGACAAGCACCATCAACCATATCAAAGGAAAATGGTGCAAAGGACACAATTATATCTTGCACAACAGATTCAATAATGTGATCATAAACTCTTCCTTGATAATACGATGTATGTCTAGGTTTATGTCTTCATCATGAATAGTTGCAACTCTCAAAAATATGTTCTTTAGTAGGAAAGCATGATTTGCAGATAGCTATATGTGGTCACAGATTCAATAACAAAAAATCAAGAGCTAATGCAGGCACACAAAGTAATAATGAGATAGAGTATAGGCTTAAATAAAGACAGTAAGGTTATCCAGAACACAACATAAAAACTAAAAAAAGACTTTGCTAAGTTGCAAACCACCACACAAACTAAACTTAAGAGGGTATCATCACAATAAATAAGTAAAACATATCCATAAAAGCAGAAAACAAAAGAACATGAACAATTCACATTAGCCTGAAGAAACAATTTTCAACTCGCCAATTCCTAAATCACGGACAAACTATAAAGTAAAATCTTTCCACAAGACAACAACAACATATTATTCAGTATAATCCCACAAGTGAGGTCTATAGAGAAAATAGTGTATGCAAACCTTACCTCAACCTCTGACGGTAGAGAGGCTGGTTACCATAGACCCCAGCTCAAGGAAAAGCATATCAAAGAGGTAAAGAAAGCATGACAAAGAATTCTAAAAATCTTTCCATTCAAAGTAGCTCCATGATATGTTGTTGAATCTGCTAGTTACCTGAGCTAGATTAGCTATATGACTTCTAATCGAAGCCTTAATTTTACCATTCAAATCTCGACCGACAAATCCATCAGTACAAGTATTCTCATCTGTAATAGCAACACTTACCCATGTCTCCACGTTGCTCATATGCCACTGGAAATCAGCTTTCCCATGGCTATGATCCAAACCTTTCAGCTCATTCACAAATCTGCTTAGCCGATCTACACTATCATTCATTTCCTCCATGCAATCCTTGATAGCTGCATAGTCTCTTGGCTTCAATCCCTTGAATTTCAACAGCTTGCGGCTTTAATTAGGTTCATGGACACAGCCGTTTTAACCAGCTGCATTGGTTGTTTTTAATGGCTTGCGCATAACCGGAAAGGGAAATGACGCATACATCTGAAAAAGTAGTGGATTTACAAGAGCTTTTTATGAAACTGGTAAAGGCTGCGACGTTGCACGTCGCGCCGGAGATGTAGGAGAGAGAGAGGAAAAATGCTGCGAGAAATAATAGTTTCTTATGATTCCAACATATGATGATAGGTAAGGATTGAAAAATAAGTTTCTGCTCCTTATTCTTATGTTTCAGTCCCCACCAGGTTGTCAAAAGGTTTCTCAAAGTGGGCTGATTGTGGATAATACCACCAGTTGCTGTAAAATATTTCCAAATGAAGCTAGAAAAATTGCATGTGACTAGAATGTGCTCAATGCCATCCCATCCAGGCTTAGTACAACAGGAACAGTGGACTGCTGCAGCTCCAAAAGAAGTAATATTGTCATTTGTTGGCAGTTTGTTCCTTAAAGCTTCTTGTTTGAAAGACATAGAAAAGTTCTTATCCAAATAACTAGCAAGGAAATGACATCTTACTTATCAGATTGGTTAGATTGAAAAACCATATTTAGATAAAAACCTGTTTCAAGACGTTCAACACCTTGTTTAAAGAGGTGCACATGACTCAGTCCACATGGTTGATACAAGATACACAGATCAGGGATGAGCTGCACATTTCCATATCCAAAAAGTTTATTCCTATTTATAGATCTTTTCTTGGACGGTTTAGGAGCCATATAGAAAGTAGAAGGCATCCAGAAAACTATATCAAGTAAACTGTGGAGGACCTAGAGAATGTTGTCTTAGCTTTCTTTGAGGGGTACACTGCGTCACAACACTTGAGAAGATCTTAGTGAAATAATATTAGTTTCAACAGTTAGTACTCTAGGACATTTTTTGAATTTTTTTCATCAAGTTATTCAGGGACTGAGGTTATGGCATTCTAGTGTTTCTCGAGTTTCTGCTTTCAATTTCAATATTCAAGGTAATGAGCTCCTGAAAATATTAGGAAGATCAACTGTATCTATCAAGAAGGGTCAGTGCCTCATGCCTCTGAATGCTCTACCGTGTAAGCATGTTATGGTATTTCTTTCATACATTTACACTTTATCCATAACTGGACTATTGTATTGATTTCTTTCTTGAAATTTTATCATAATCACGATTTTGTTAACTTGGGTCCAGAATTTAGTTTAGCTTAGATGACTTCTACACTGCTACGATATTGTCCTTTGTAATATCATCTTGTAAGTTTATCTTAAATACGCTACTACGACGATGTTGCTTACTACTGTCTTCTTATTGTTTTAAATCTCTGTCTTTCTCAGAAATGAAACAATTGTCCGTAAATTTTTAAATTTTACATGGGAAATTTGTCGGGAATGACTAATTATCTCACTGTTTGATGTATGACCATGCAGATTCCTTGTATTGTTTGTTGTTAGTTTGTACTTATTTTGTTTTCTCAGCTTAGACGACTAGTGTGGTGGTGCTTATTAAGCTATTCTGGGTAAAAGCTACTAACTAGTTCTGTTGATATGATTTTCTCAATCATGGAATGCTTGAACTGGACATATATAATGAAAGTTGTGCCGGACAACATGCCTTCTAGTTGAAACTATGATGTG